ATCGCAAGTCTTTCGTTTCCGTTCATCTTCCAGCCGCCTTTCACGTCTTGTAGTCGACAACGGTCGCCTGAAAACGCCGAACATGAGGCCAGATGAGTTGTTTGTCATTTTCCTCTATCAACACCGTTTTATCCGATCTTCCCGACGATACTTTCGCATTTCGCCTCCCCCTCGTCGTAGAAGATGTGGAATATGCCCCAATTTCCCTCTACGTCTCAAAAAGTGATATTCTTTTTGACTCTTCCCTTTGCTTCAGATGCTATTAATCTGTTGTTTGCCTTTTATCTAATGCTTCTTATGTGCCCTCTTATTTTGCACCGTTCTTGATGGACCCATTTCCCCAATTCATTCCGTCGTCTAGTCTTCACGCAGACCAGCTCTGATGCCCCAGTTTCAGAGCTTTCCTTTAGATGATATGTCAAGCCTGCATTTTCGGTTGGCCAACTGAAGACTCGGCAAGTGATAGGCTCGTGTTACGTTCCCTTCCTTTCTCGCCGCCTGTACCTTTGGAACAGCATTCTTGCGTCAGAGCTCACCTTCACCGCAACACGTGCCGTGGGTATGCTGAAGAAGTTCATCGTCTCCATGCCCCCATTTTCACCATAGCAACACTTATGCCTCTCCGACGTCTTCTCGTCAGGCGTCCAACAGAATCTCTAAAGTTACCTCATTTCGCCCTTTCCATCCTCTTTTACCTTTCAGGCACGAACCTGACTGAAAAAATTATCCGCTCTTAATGTTCGCCTCAGCTCTACCAGTCGTTATGTCTTTATTTTTTCGACGGCTGGCCCTCAGCAACCGCGAAATGGTGAGTCTGAGGCTTTGCTCTTTTAGCAGATTAACCAATTAAAGTTGCCTTTAAAGTGCCGTAAACCATGGCTACTTTGCAATGATACCTCTTTACAATTATGACCCTCATCTAAAAGGCGCCTGTGTCAAGGTTGTCTTTTCTCACCTTGTATTAGTTTTGCTATTTCTTATGCAAATATCTGATTTTCCCATAGCGAAAACCACCTTTTCTGCAAGTTGGCAATGGTATTCTCTTGATAATTTGACTTTCGCAGGCTGGAGTTAGTATTTTATGAATTCTCCGACAATCCACCAACACATTTTCACCATCCATTTTTCTCCTGACTTGGGATTTCCCCTATTAAAGCTATCTTCTTGTATGCATGAGCCGGTAATCCACTCAAGCTTTAGGCATAAATCATTCATCTGCACTAAAACATACATTACTCCTTTAAGCATTTCAATGTGTCTGCTCCGTCGCCTGTACAAGGCCATGGAGACGCACAATTGGTGGTCGGAGCAATCGCTTGGTTTTAGTTGGTGCTAATCTCCTTATCTGAACTTGCATATATCGACGGCAACCTCGCTGTTTCTCCATTTTGCGACAAAACTTGATCGTTTTGCACGCTTGCTCTGTTCGACACTTTTTTGCAGAGCTCAGAGAATCCTTTAACCCGCAAACTTGTTAAGTCATTTAAGCTTGTTCAGCA